AATCTTACGTGGCATCTTACGAGCTGTTAGTGATATAACAGCAGATTGACCAAAAAAACTCAATCTATAAGTTAAGTGAGCAAAATAGAAATTTTAAAAGTACGGTGAATAAAATAGGAATCGCATGAAAGGTTAGTTATCAAATTTGTAATTTACCTTTTTTTTTAATTAATTCACCATGGTACTTTTAGTTTTGTGAGGTGTGAAAAAGCAGGGTGTGGTGTGGTGCGTACCTCATAAGAAATCACTCGTGTCCGTTTGTTAGATCTATTGCTGCTTTCATTTAACTTCTCTTTATCAAATTAACCACACAAATTATGAACTTTTGCATGCAAAAATTATGAAATTAACTATCCCAATTCCAACGAAAAAATAAATAAATGAAAATGAAGAAGGTACAAGCCAGTGATCAGAATCACTTGATCCGAAAGTATAATTAAGTTGAGCATAAATCCCGTCAAAAGGTGGTTCAAAGGCTGATAAATAAGGACTTTAAAAGGAGCTGGTCTAATTGTGATTTTATCCCTTTACTATATCATTTTTTGATTTTTATCCTTTTTAATATCTGCTTTAATTTGTTTCCTCAAAGGATGGCAAAACTCAAGTATTTTGCATCGATTCATTTTTAATATAGATGCTCATTATTAAGTGAGATAATTATAATAAATGTTTGATTAATTTAATATAATTAAAATTAAAATAATATTATGAATTTAGACTTACTAATAATATTATTATAATACTAAATTAAAATAAGAGAATTAGATCTCAAGGTTTTAGAAATAGTTGAGGGACTAAAAGTATAATTAGACACAAAAGCTAAACAGATTCTAACAACGGTAAAAGCCGCCTTAAACGACCTTACTCTTTTCCTCTTTCTCCCCGGAAAATAGACACGCACAAGGAAGCACAAGCAGCCTTATTTTAGAACACACTGCTTTCTTTCTATTGAAAAAACGCCGCCGTCTATCGGAGCTCAGTCAGGTACGGTTCGATTGCCTCCGGTTCCTATGTGGAAGAGTTGTTTGTTGATACGACTGTCTAACGCACCACAAGAATCTAGTTTTATTTATTAAAACTTTAACTTTCTTTTTTGGCTCCTTTAATATCGATGTTTTAGATTTAGATTTAATTCATGAATTTTTGCTGTGGTTATATCTTGACATGGAACTGTTACTTTGGCATTTATTTCGGATCTCTTCTTCACCTTTATAGCGATTCCGATTTTGTTCGTTTTACTGTATTTAGGGTTTTTTTCCCCACAATTATTAATATTTTGTCTTGCAATTGAGTTCACTCTTATTTAGTCCCCAGAAGGAAGCTAATTGCTCGATGCTTGGTTTTTCCTGACCTTTCTTTTTAAATATTTTGGTAAAAATTTTATATGCTATCTTTTGCTTTCTCTTGAGTTTTGAGTGAATTTGGTGGGCATACTAAGAGTGTTATTCTGAGCTCTTTCACTTTTTTCTCTCGACTTATTAGCTGTTAACTGATTGAAGTTCACTTTACTATCCGAAATGGTAATTATTTTCTTTTTCTTTAAGGGAAAAAGGGAAAGTGTTTTTTAATTTTGGTTGATTTAATCTTCCTTTTTGGTGGGTGTTTTGGCTAGTTTCAGCTTCGTTTTTTCTATTCCTTCTGTTTTGTGATATAATTTAACTTTAACTAAGGATTAGATAGATTCAGAATTTAAAATCAGATGCAATGAATTTTATTAGTGTTTTATTTTATAATCTATCAGTAACCATATTGATGCCCTATTTTGTTTTTTGGTGTTAGTAACCAAAGGTGTATGAAGCCAGTGGTTTTCCTTCTACAATATCGCAGATGATATTATCGGTTGAGTTCGTTTTCTGGATAATGTGAATTATGGTTGTTTGAATACTGTTGGAGAATTAATTTATATTGCAGTGGATCATGGGAGTTGCTTGTTGTGTTGCCGCTAGAGGCAAAACTATCGTAAATGGATCAAGTAGTGAGGTTTTACATAGGAATATCAGGTATTCACCGACGTGGAGTTTCCGTTGGGATAATCGAGGGCGTGTGGCTGGTGAAGACACTTCTATAAGTTGGTTCTCAGATGCAGTAAGTCGGAATGATGGATCAGAGATCAAATATGAATCTGCATGTGCATCGGAGGATGAGATTTCTTCTGAGAGTTTTCAGTCTCGTACATGGCAAAAGTCCCCAACTTCAGAAGGAACTGCTGGACAAGTGAGAACTCCTGTTTCAGGTAAACTACTAGGATGCTGGTCTTATCGTGAATTTATGGAATTCAGAAATGTTGAAGTTAATTTTGAATATAAAACTTATTCTTCTGTTGGCACTTTACCATATGGGATCTTGACTGAATTAGATAGATAATAACTTGCTGTGAATGAAAAAGTATAAGGAATATAAACAAAGAAAGGTACTTCTGAGTTCTGACAAAAAATCTGAAAAATAACAAGCTCAAACCCTTACAAGTCATGGAAGGGAGATTTATTGTATGAATTAACTTAAAATGTGAATTTTTCCGAGTTTCCATTCTCAAAATGCAGACCATTTTTATGGTAAATTTACTAGGTTACGTCATTTGGTAATATCCTGAAAATCATTTTTTAGTGAAGTAGTTGCATGCACAACTGAATTAATCTTGGCATGTTGGTTGGACATTGGCCAATTTTGCAAGGCCGTTCTTCTGGTCTTTGTCTTTTCACCTTGTATGAATTGTGCGAGCAGTGTGTCAATGCTTCATTTTAATTCAATTTTTGGTGTCATGTGGAGTCTTGTAAAGGATGGATGCAATACAATTTTCCAACATTTCTATGAACAGGATATGTTTGGAGTTTAGAGGGCCTCCTTTTTTTCTTACTTGTCTGCTTGTTTTCATTCTTGAGAAAAAATGTCATCAGTTTAATGTTGGCCGTGCCATTCTATCATTTTGTTGGTTGAGAAAGTTCCTCTTTGAATCGTTCTAACATTCCTTTACATATATTATTCAGATCAATCTATTTCAAGAATTATCTCTGTTGATGTGAACTTAGAGCAGGTAAAAGTCTTTCCCCTCAGGAGGCAGTTTCATGCATCTCTTTCATGTCACATTGTTTGAGAAATCTGGACTCTGTTTCAGGCGAAGGTGTCTGTAGAATCCCCTGCAGCCTTTGGGTACCCATCTCCTAAGTTGTCACTGTCTTTGCCATCGGCTTCCTCCTTTGCAACATCCCCTATGTATTCACAAAGTCATGTGCATCTTTCTAGTTCAAGAATAACAAAGTGGCCTCTCAGGTCTCCTGGACATCATCTATTGCGTCAAGTATCTGATAACAGAATTCTGGGATTAAAGTCACCTAATAGATACTCGGTTGGTGAGGAAAGGGTTGTAATGCCTTCATGGAGCAATGAATCAACTAGGGGCTCTCGTGGCGGTTCTTCTGATGGGTGGTCTATGCATGCCTTTTCTGAACTGCCTACATCTCGTAGGGAAAGGTGGTCTTTTGATAATGACACATGGGGTTTTCATCGGGAGAGAATAATCAAATCCAGTGGCCGAACCTTAGGGTCACCATCTGTTGATCTACAAACATGTGGTGTTTGCTCAAAGCTTTTATCAGAAAAATCTTTGTGGAGCACTCAGAAGATTATAATTAGCAATGATCTATCTGTTGTTTCTGTACTAACTTGTGGCCATGTTTACCATGCTGAATGTTTGGAGAATATGACGCCTGAAATTGACAAGTATGACCCTGCTTGTCCAATATGCACTTTGGGGGAGAAGAAGACACAAAAATTATCTGAGAAAGCATTTAAAGCTGAAATGGATTTTAAGGCTAAAATCAACAAAAAATCGAGGAGCCGGGTCATTGATAGCGATATGGATGTGGATCCTATCGTATTTAATCGTATGAAAAGTAGTGGACATGAAGGTAAGGCCTCCAGTTCTAGCATGAAAAGTTCCTCGGGCAAGCCTTTCCTGAAGAAACATTTTTCCTTCGGATCAAAGGGTAGTAGATCCCCTTCAGAGTCTCTTTCTAACTGGAAAAAGGAATTTTCCTGGACAAAATCTAGCAAGATCTGAAGTTCTTATCTGCTGTTTGAAGGTATCTCTTTGACTGGTTTACTAATATTTTTTTCAGTACAGGCATCAAAATCATCAGTTCCCCTGTCATCGGCTTAATAATGTCACAATTACGACCAGTCTGTCTTTTGCTTCTGAGCTTTTGAAGGAGATGTATTGTGCACCTGTTACTTTTGACCCTAACCTGAAACCTCTCATTACCTTGAATTCAAATTCGACCTAACCTGATTTGACCACAAAAAAAAATTAATAATCCAAACCCGAAAATGACTCAATCTTGTTAACGGGGGCGTTGTGATTTGTTGCGTTTATGTTGTGTGCATATTCTGATTTCCTTATCTGCCTTTATGGTGGTGCAGGATGTCAATTCTTGAAGAATTCTTGACATCTTTCTGAAGTATTCCCCCCCCCCCCCAACAGGGTATCTTAATGGACTCGCACTGTAAAGAAGAAAATGGAAATTATAGTTGAAAGAAACAGGCTCAACAGGAAGAAATATTTTAAACGATGAAATATAATATATATATTTTTATATGGTATTTAACATCACTAGTGATGTTATTGTTTTGTACAGACTGATCTGTTTCTTGTTTCTTTGCTTGGATTGCATTCACGCGATTTTGTTAAGCATTTATTTTAAATTTGGATTCGATCATTTTGATTTTCTATTATTTAAAAACATAAAGATAATTACAATATGGCAGGATATGGTTACCTGGCAGTGACAGTTAAAATTCAGTTAAGCAAGTTGGATGAATATGTACTATTAAAAGAAAGGAAGCAATTCTGGTCAAACCATGGACCATGTCCAAAGCTGGCAAATGTCTAAAAATGGAGACCAAAAGCAACATTTTCTCAACTAAAGTATAAAAAATGAAAAAAAAAAACCCAAAAATCTTAATCCACGAAACATTGCCCTCGCAATTTGTGTATTGCGAATCTAATTCTGCTGCCAGTCTCTTTTCCACCATTGATATCCAAAGCATAAACACAAAGAAAACAAACCCCTTTTTTTTAAGAAAATATAATATAATTTCCTTATTTTCCCCGAAGACCTTTTTGTTTGTTCATTTGTGTCTTGAAACATCCTCCCTCACCCCCTCATCCAGGAGGGATGGAGATAGGAAAGAAACCAATTTCAATGTCACATTTTCATTCCATTTTTTTTTTCTTCCTTCCTGTTTCCCATTGTCCACTACAAGCTTCTTCCATGGCTATCCTCCTGGTTATAGTGTTCTTTTGCACCTTCATTTGTCACCCTACCGCAGTTGTTGCCAGTGCCACGGGTCCTTTCAATCCGGCAGACAACATCCTCATCGACTGCGGTGCAACCGAACCGCCCAAGCTCCCCGACGGAAGGTCATTCAAAACCGATAAGGATGCGTCTCAATTTCTCGACACTAAGGGTGATGCCCAAGTGTCTGCCTCCAATGTCAATCTCCCTTCACCTTTGTTTTTAAATGCCAAGGTGTTCCCTGAAGAAGCAACCTACACTTTCGAGTTGAAACGGCCCGGTTTCCATTGGGTCCGGCTCTATTTCTACGCGATAAAAGATAGCAAGTACGATCTCCTGCAGTCGACATTCTCGGTCTCGGCAAACCATTATGCTATCCTTCATAACTTCAAGATTATCAATGGAAGCATACCTGTTCTCAAGGAGTATCTTCTTAACATGAATGATCCTAGATTCATTCTCAAGTTCTCTCCCATGACGAATTCATTCGCTTTCGTGAATGCCATCGAGGTCGTTTCAGCACCAGATAGTTTGATCGCGGATGAGGGGATGTCGCTCTTCCCGGTTAACAGCTTCCAAGGCTTGACCAAGCATGGTTACCAAGTTGTTTATAGGTTGAACATGGGGGGGCCTTTGATTACCCCACAAAATGACACTCTAGGAAGGACTTGGATACCTGATAGTGATTACCTTGAGGATAAAGCCTTTGCTTTAAAAGCCTCTACTTCAACAACTGCAATCAATTACCCCGAGAAGCTAACCCCTTGGATTGCACCACCAACGGTTTATTCGTCCCTCATTGAGATGGCGGTTCCCGAGGCCGGCACGATAAACCCGAACTTCAATGTGACATGGCAGATGGAAGTCGATAAATCATTTGATCACTTGCTCAGGTTGCATTTCTGTGACATAATCAGCAAGGCACCCAATACCCTGTATTTCAATGTGTACATCAATGGTAAAATGGCTATCTCCGGGTTGGATTTGTCGAGCATAACGGGAGGTCTGGGTGTTCCATACTACAAAGATATAGTAGTGAATGCTTCCACTTTCACCAGCGCACTAATAGTTCAGATCGGTCCGCTGAACAAGGATACGGGAGAAACTAATGCGATTCTTAATGGCTTGGAGGTGATGAAAATGAGCAACTCCGCAGAGAGTTTGGATGGGGAATTCGGTGTTGACGGAAGCTCGACCTCGAGCAACAAGGGTACGGTGGCTGTTGTCGGTTTCGCCATGATGTTCGGCGCCTTTGTCGGTCTCGGTGCAATGGTTATTAGATGGAAGAGGAGACCCCAAGATTGGCAAAAGAGGAATAGCTTTTCTTCATGGCTACTACCACTCCATGCTGGAGACAGTAGCTTCTTGAGCAAGTCAGCTGGTTCCCAAAAAAGCACCTTCACCTCATCATCACTAGGCTTAGGCCGTTACTTCTCCTTGGCAGAGTTGCAGGAAGCAACCAAGAACTTCGATTCGAGTGCGGTAATCGGGGTCGGTGGGTTCGGTAATGTGTATTTAGGCTCGATCGATGATGGAACCCAAGTTGCTGTCAAGAGAGGGAACCCACAATCCGAGCAAGGTATCACAGAGTTTCAGACAGAAATCCAGATGTTGTCAAAACTGAGGCACAGGCACTTGGTGTCACTGATCGGTTATTGCGACGAGAACAGTGAAATGATCCTCGTCTATGAGTACATGTCCAATGGACCTTTCAGGGATCACTTGTACGGGAAAAACTTGCCATCTCTATCATGGAAGCAGAGGCTCGAGATCTGCATCGGAGCGGCTCGCGGACTTCACTACCTTCACACTGGTACCGCACAAGGCATCATTCACCGTGACGTTAAGACCACCAACATATTGCTAGATGATGCCTTCGTTGCCAAGGTAGCCGATTTCGGGCTGTCAAAAGACACACCTATGGGGCAGAATCATGTTAGCACAGCAGTGAAAGGCAGTTTCGGATATTTAGATCCCGAGTATTTCAGGAGGCAACAATTAACCGAAAAATCCGACGTTTACTCATTCGGGGTCGTCCTATTCGAGACCTTATGCGCAAGGGCCGCCATTAAACCACAGTTGCCTAGAGAGCAAGTTAACTTAGCAGAATGGGCAATGCAATGGAAGAGGAAAGGCTTGCTCGAAAAAGTCATCGATCCTCACCTTGTTGGTGCCATCAATGCCGAATCGATGAACAAGTTCGCCGAGGCTGCCGAGAAATGCTTGGCCGAATACGGTGTCGACAGGCCTTCAATGGGGGATGTTTTATGGAACCTGGAACATGCATTGCAGTTGCAAGAATCATCCTCGGAGGGAAAATCAGAGGAGGCAAACAGACAATCGAACACCGCCACAACGCCGCCTCCAGTCGTCGCTCCACCGTACGAAACAGTACCTCCTCCTGCTCCTCAGCCAGAAACCAATCAATCAGCCGGAGGTGATCAGAACATTGAACACTCGGGGACTGCAATGTTTGCACAGTTTCAAGGGCTGAATGGTCGATAAAAAAAAATACTGCCGCTTGATAATTAGGACCATAAATTCTGGCATTTCTTTTTCACATAAAAGAACTTATATATATATATATATATATATATGGGCAGCACTTTCTACATGTAACGACTGAACTTTCTTTCCTTGTCTCTTATGTGGAGTTTTCAATTTCTAATTTCAACAATATATATATATGTGTGTGTATGCACTGTACTACTGCTTATTTTATTTCTCGCTTATTTATATTATTGTATGCCTTTTTCATTACAATGAATTCTAACTGCTTTTACTGGGAATTATACATTTTTGTTTTAGGTAAAATATAATTTTATTAAGAGAAAATCGCCTCAGTGACCAAAAATACCTTATAATATACGATTTTAACCAACTTTTTTTGGATTTGCCAAAATGACCAATAAAATCGCAACGCGATATCAAAATCGCAACACGATTTAGAAAATCGCAACGTTAAAAAGAAAATCGCAACGGTCAAGAAAATCGCAACGCGAGCTTCCAAGTTCGCAACGCGATTTAGAAGAAAATCGCAATGCGATTGATAGAATCGCAATGCGATTTATAGAATCGCAATGCGATTGAGAGAGTCGCAACGCGATCTAGAAGAAAATCGCAATGCGACTGAGAGAATCGCAATGCGACTGAGAGAATCGCAATGCGATTGAGAGAATTGCAACGCGATTTAGAAAATCGCAACGTTAAAAAGAAAATCGCAACGGTCAAAAGAAAATCGCAACGGTCAAAAGAATAGTTAAAAAAATTTTGTTTCTTAAGAATTTTCTCTAAAAAGATAGTATCCGCGCGGACGTGTCGAAGACACGTATTACCACGACCACGACCACGACCACGACCACGACCACGACCACGACCACGACCACGACCACGACCACGACCACGACCACGACCACGACCACGACCACGACCAGACCCGACCCGACCCGACCCGACCCGACCCGACCCGACCCGAGACGAGACGGCGGCGCGCGAGAGTCCCCCTTGTCCTCTTTCACTCAACAAGGAAGTGCAAAATACAAGCCTTAAATACCATTCCCAATAGTATTTCCAATACTATGTGGGATTGAGCATTACCAACACTTGTTCCAAATATCATTATTCTTCATAAGTTATCATCCATTACAATATGAATTAGTCGTGTTAATGAACCAATATACCTCATTAATATATGGTATTGTTGAACAAAAGAATGATGATGATCTTATTAAAGACCATCTAATACGAAGAATCCAATGCATAACCGATACCTTATTGTGAAACTAATTCACATAGAGGTTGTACGTGAAAAAAATCTTTTACTTTATAGTAAATATCTATCTCAATAATTTTAATATAAAAAATATATTTTTTATTAATAATAGAATTATTTCATGTATTTATCAAGTTATAATTTTAAATACTTATTAAAATGAATTAATTTATTATCGATAATTCATATGTAATGGATGATAACTTTTGAAGAATAATGATATTGGGAACAAGTGTGTGGTAATGCTCAATCCCACATAGTATTGGAAACACTATTGGGAATTATATTTAAGGCTTGTATTTTGCACTTCCTTGTTGAGTGAAAGAGGACAAGGGGGACTCTCGCGCGCCGCCGCCGTCTCGTCTCGGGTCGGGTCGTGGTCGTGGTCGTGGTCGTGGTCGTGGTAATACGTGTCTTCGACACGTCCGCGCGGATACTATCTTTTTAGAGAAAATTCTTAAGAAACAAAATTTTTTTAACTATTCTTTTGACCGTTGCGATTTTCTTTTGACCGTTGCGATTTTCTTTTTAACGTTGCGATTTTCTAAATCGCGTTGCAATTCTCTCAATCGCATTGCGATTCTCTCAGTCGCATTGCGATTCTCTCAGTCGCATTGCGATTTTCTTCTAGATCGCGTTGCGACTCTCTCAATCGCATTGCGATTCTATAAATCGCATTGCGATTCTATCAATCGCATTGCGATTTTCTTCTAAATCGCGTTGCGAACTTGGAAGCTCGCGTTGCGATTTTCTTGACCGTTGCGATTTTCTTTTTAACGTTGCGATTTTCTAAATCGTGTTGCGATTTTGATATCGCGTTGCGATTTTATTGGTCATTTTGGCAAATCCAAAAAAAGTTGGTTAAAATCGTATATTATAAGGTATTTTTGGTCACTGAGGCGATTTTCTCTTTTATTAATGTGTTGGTTATAATTTTTTAAATAATTAAAGCATAATTTTTATTATTTTATGGATTGATATGAATTTACATGCCAAGTGAGCAGTTTAATCTGTTTTTAAAATAACAATAATTAATAACATTAGAAAAGTAAAGAGAATAAATTATTCCAAATCATAATAGAATGTTCAGATATCTAATTTTTGTCATGGTACAGGGACTAAGATCCGTAATTAGACCTAAAATTTTTCGCTCCGTACGCAGTATACCGTACAATCCGTTATGGACTCGCAACGTGTTACTTTATTATTGGCCAACGGTACAAAGCTGCTGAGCTACAACTATTACCAAATCCTCCCACGCCACCTGTGTATATATATATATAGTATGTAGCACACATTTTGCACCTTCGAGCTTTAAATTTTCATCCTTTTTTTTATCCCCCTTTATATCTTTGCTTTAATCAGTAAAACGTAAAGAGCGAATCAATTTCGAGTTTTGTATTGATATTTCTTCAAATTTAGGGTTTCAAAGTGATCTGATCTGATGGAGCCTCCATTGCCGGCAACGCTAACAAACTACGGAAGCTCAAACGGTATTACATATTTAATCGCCGATGTTTAGTTAATGTTGTTTGGTTGACAGTGTCATAGTTTGATATAGGGACCGACGAGGGGCGGTCGGGATAGTCATTTCTTCTTAAAATTTTAATATATTTTAGATATTTTTGTTAATAATTTATTTTTGCTATTATAATTTTATATGTTCGTTTCTCTTAATATAAAATCATGTGCGTCTCGGATTAAATATATTTATGGAGATTACAAGTCGAAGGCATTTATAATTATTTGGGATTTAGATTTGAAGACTGCATAACAAAAATTAATGATTTTTGGTTGATGGTGTCTTAGTTCGATATAGAGATGGATGATAGTGAGGCATTTAATTCTGAAAATTTTAAATTGTTATATATATTAAATATTTATTTTATATTTTATATTAATGATATATTTTAGTCCTTAGAATTTTATAAATTTATTCTTTTTTAAATTTTAAAAAGTCATTTTCCTATGATATAAAATCATGTGTTTATAATTGTTTTGGAATTAGATTTGAAGACGATGGATTGTTTAAATAGTGTATTAGAAAATATCAATGGTGTTTGCATTCATCTTCCTTTTAAATTATTTTAATGCTGCATTTTAATCTTTCGGTATACGATGATCTTCGTTTGTTTTATTTGCTTTAGTTTTTTCGCCTTTTCGCATTCCGTTAACTTGAACATTATTGTTCTGTTTATTACTTTGCCTTGGAAGTCAAGGCGCCTCTTGATTTATTTTCCTACTGTATAAACATCTAAAATATAAAAATGAGAAGAAAAATAGAGAATTATCTACCTAATATTTAGTCTGTTTGGCTTTTGATAATCGTGTTTATCTTCTCCGTGCTTGTTTACAGGGTCTTGTTCTAATAGTCCTAAAAGGAAGAAAATGTCGAGTGGTTCAAAAGACTATGATAGAACGTCAGCCACTATAGATCCTTTTGATGGAACTGAAAAGAAGAAGCCTAAAATCTCTCCGAATGTTGTTGATTTTTCCGACCCATTTGCATTCACTAATATGCTTGAAACCCATAATTCTGGTGGCAAGTATGGTAGTGTAACAAAAGAAATAGAAGCCCTTTTCTCTAGGAATTCACTTCTGGTGAGCAAAATACTTGCTTTGCATCCTTCTCTTTCCAAAGTGTCGATGGATGTGGGAAAATGCCAGAGGAAAGAGGCTTCAAAGGTGCCAAGTCGACAGCTTGCTCATTTGTCACGTAACTTTTTCATTGATTTGGAGGATGAGTCGGTTGGAAGTAGTATCACATCAACTGCATCCCCTGTAGTGGTTCTTGTTTCGGATAATGAAGATAACAGAAATCATAGGCCTCTGTGCGCTTTTCAGGAAATTGTATTGAAGAAGCCATCTGATGTGCTACACTCCGAGGTGGAGAAAATGGTATGTTCTTTTGCACATATTTATATTTTGAGTTGTGTGTTTCAGGGTACTATGAACATTGAATTTAAACACTATGTTATATAAGTGTCAGATACGAGTACACATATGTATCAGACACAGAGTATGATAAAATTTTTAAAAAGCTTTTTTCACATATTTGAAGGATCCTTGAAGGTCATATCCTTATATTCAAGTGACTGACATGCAAACACGAAGGTTGAGAACAAATTCTTTATAAAAAAAAATAACGAGTTAGAGGAACATAGTTTAAGTATATTAGGGTTATTAAATAAATTTTAATTTTTCTAATGTAAAAACGCTTTTTAGTTTACTTTGCATATTCCGTGGTTCAAAGTTCTATGCTTTTCATGTTTTGGTTCTTTTTACGTATAATTTAATTCAATCCAACATGAAAGTGGGGTAATGCGGTATTCAAATATTAGATGATGTTTCTGTTTGAATTGATTTTCTGAGAAATAATGAGAGATTAAGTTTATAGAGTCTTTGCATTTTTTGACAAAAATGAAGTTGTGTCCCTTCCCCACCCAACGGCATGGTTTGAGATGGAGCAACATGAAATGAGAAGCAAAGGGACTAATGTCTCTTCATCTCTTGTTCTGAATGTTAAAAGGGTCAAGCAAGATGACACGAGAGAGAAATTTAACTTCAGAAAGTTGTGGATGCACGTGTAGGTGGAAGAGGCTAAATCATTCATTTGAATATAATTATATGTCGAGTAAACTTTTTGTAATGAAAACCAATTGTCGAGTGAAGCCATAGGACCTCAATTTACCCCGCATAAATTTTTATTTTGTTCAGAGAAAATTAATTACATAATCCACTACTAAGTGATGCAAATGCACCTTATTGTCTAATTCAGATTTTTTCTCTTAATTTATTTACTTGTTTCATCTCAATCCAATTAAGGACATGTTCAATATCACTGTTATACTAATGTTTGATTATAGGTCTTTTGAGTTAATACTTATAAAATACTTGTAGGTGAGGGTACTTCGAGCTCAATGTCAATAATCTTCAAGCTCTAAAGTGTATGTTTCATGTTTTTATTCTACTTTTATCTTATTTTAATTTTGTTCGCGTGATTGATTTGTTTCAGGCAGGAGAGTCTATGAGAAACAGAAGTTCCTTGAAAGAAAATGTTAGTCTAACCAGTAAAAGTGATCTCAAGAAGGATCAAGACAACAAAAATCCAAGGCCTCTGCACCCTTTTCAAGAAATTGTTTTGAAGATGCCATCAGTGGTATTGCCCTCCAAGGTGAAAACAGTATGTTCTCGTACACATTTCTATTCTGAGTTGTGCGTTTGAGAATTGATATAGGGATATAAAAGTCACTACGAACGTTGAATGTACATGTATATTTTATGAAAAGTTGAATTTACAGATATTAGTTTTTTTATATATTTTTTTAAAAAAGAAAACTTTTTTGTTTACGTTGCATAGTTCGAGGTTCATAGTTATAAGCCAATATGTTTTAGTTCTTTTATGATTGACAATAATCTAGTTCAACCCACATCCACCCAACAAGGAAGTGGGGAAATACAGCATTCAAATATTTATATTAGCTCTTAGTTATCTTTAGTTTTTCTCTGGTCTTTACAATTTTTATTGAATAGCCTTTGAGGCCAACCATGGAATCTTACGCCAGTGCCCGTGAAGAACATAGATCATCTTCTTTGTATGTGTTTTTCAGATAGAGAGAGATTCAAGTTTGTAGTCTTTCCACTTTTGACAAAAAATGAAGCTTTTACCCGTTCCTTGTTGAATAGCATGGTCTGAGATTGAGCAAAATGAAATGACACTGGTGATATTTGAAGTTTAGAAAGTTGTGGATGCACATGAAAGTCTAAGAGATTAAATCCATCCATTTGAATATAATTTGTTAAGAGGAAATTAACAATATAATAAACTTTAAGCGATGCAAATATCTGTGATTGTCTAATTCAAAATTCTCTTTATTTATTTACTCGTTTCTTCTCAATCATATTGGGGACATGTTCAATGCCACTTTTGTTTTTATGGTAGCATAGGTCTTTTGAGTTAATACTAATATAATACTCAAGTATTTTTCAAGTAAAATGGTTTCGTATTTTTTATTCTATTTTTATCCTATCTTAAATTGATTGGTGATTTGTTTGAGGTCCGGAAGTCTATGAGTAACAGAAGCTGCCTGGAAGAAAATGTTAGTCTAACCAGTGAAAATAATATCAAGAAGGATGAAGACAACAAAAATCCGAGGCCTCTGCACCCTTCGCAGGGAACTGTATCGAGTAAGCATTCCTCAAAGGAGAAAACGGTATGTTCTTGTACACATATTTATATTTTGAGTTCTGCGTTTGAAGGTTGAAATAGGGATATAAAACTCACAACGAACTTTGAATTTATATTTCTATTTTTTGAAAAGTTGAATTTACATGTTCAAAGTTGTATGCCTTTATGTTTTAGTTCTTTCATGTCTGATAATGATTTAATTCAAGCCACATTCACCCAAAAAGAAAGTGGGCAAATACGGCATTTCATCTTTAGCTTATCTCCAGGCCTTTACAAGGTTTAATGATTAGCCATTAAGGATATCTATGGAATCTTACACCAGTGCCCATGAATAAAATATTACTCTCTTCCTGTTTGTATTTGTGTTTGTTAAAAAGATAGAGCCAGTAAGTTTTTAGTCTTTCCATTTTTGCAAAGATAAAGTTCTTTTCCTGTCCCTCATTGAAACGGTATGGTATGGGATTAAGCAAATTGAAATGAAGCTTACGGACCAATGTTTCTTCCTCACTTGTTCTGCATGTTAAAAGGATCAAATGGGATGACATGGGAGAAAATTTTTACTTCAGAAAGTTGTGGATGCATATTAAGGTCTAAGAGGCTAAATATTTAAACAGAATTTGAGAGGAAATTAGGTACATATCCACTAGTAAGTGGTGCAAATATAGTCTAATTCATAATTTTCTCTTAATTTTTTGCCATTTTCATCTCAATCATACTGGGGACATGTTCAATGTTACTGTTATATGTACGATTGATTACAGGTGCTTCAAGTTAATGCTTATAAAATACTCATATTGAGTGTATTTTGAGTATAATGGTTATTGTCTTCAAGCTCTTTGCGTATGTTTCATGTTTTTTTATTTTATTTTTATCCAATCTTAATGTGATCAGTCTAATTGATGTGTTTCAGGTTGGGGAGTGTAGGAGTAACAAAACTGATCCGAAAGAAAATGTTAGTCTAACCAGTGAAACTGACCTCAAGAAGGATGAAGGTGTTTATCTTGGTGTTGAAGAAGATTCAGATACTCAAAATGAGAATGGGGATGATGGTTTAGGAGATATTTGGCAGGAGATGTCAATGGCATTGGAGATTTCCAAGGTATTTCTGATTCATGGAAAGTAACTGGTGGATGCCCATTGTATCTAGATGCCGTTAAATGTTATGCTTCTCTGTTTTGGGCCAACACTTGTGCAGACGTCCTGATGCAGTTATTTTGAAATTTTTATTTCTTGAAACTGTATAGACAACCAAACATTTGTTTTTTGTTTTGATCTGTTGTTAGCTTGGTCACATTCCAATTGTGAGTGGAAAACAATTACTGAGCAAAACACAATAGCAGAGTTCATAACGTATAATTTTGCTAGATGGAATTAGTACCTTGTCTAACTTCGTTTGCGCTTGATATTACTTACTAGCATAGAGTTCATGAAAGATTGTGGTAGCATAAGAGTTCATAACACATAATTCATGTTTCCCTCCATGTAGAATAAGAAACCTCTTTTTTACATATTAGAATCATTATTAACGTGTTACAATTATTGAACTTCAGGCAATTAATTATCCATAGCAAGTATCTCCTATGTTCATTATGACTTGCAATGTTTTGGTAGGATGGTTTGAGGATCTTTCAAGTGAACGGATGTCAGAAGATGAGGATTGTGACCATTCTTTTGTATTGAAGGATGATATTGGTTACGTGTGTCGCATTTGTGGAGTTATTGATAGAGGAATTGAGACCATAATTGAGGTTCAGTTTAACAAGGTAAATCAATCTTATGATCATTCATCTCATTCTTTTGGGCCTTATCCGCTCTGTTCCTGGCTGAAAATTTCATTGTCTTTTTGTTTATTCAGGTTAAAAAGAGTACACGCACTTATGCCGTAGAAGGACGGAATGCCAAATATAGAGGGCCGACTGAAACTGTTGGAATTAAGTTGTCTGAAGGTGATTTAACAGTAACTAACATAGCTGCTCATCCAAGACATATGAAGCAAATGAAACCTCATCAATTAGAGGGCTTTAATTTTCTGCTAAGCAATTTGGTAACAGAGAACCCTGGGGGCTGCATCCTGGCCCATGCACCTGGATCTGGAAAGACGTTTATGATAATCAGCTTCATGCAAAGTTTCCTAGCCAAATATCCACAAGCTAAACCACTAGTTGTTCTTCCGAAAGGTATCTTGGCTACATGGAAAAAGGAGCTCCTAACGTGGCAAGTAGAGGATATTCAACTGCTTGATTTTTATTCTGTGAAAGCTGAAAATAGGTCTCAGCAGTTAGAGGTGCTGAAGCAGTGGGTTGGGAACAAGAGTATCCTTTTTCTGGGGTACAAGCAGTTCGCTACCGTAATTTGTGATGGTGGAAACGGACAGACTTCCGTTTCTTGCCAGCAGATACTGCTCAAAGCACCTTCAATTCTAATTTTGGATGAAGGCCATACACCAAGGAACGAAAACACCGATGTGTTACAATCCCTTGCAAAGGTTCAAACACCTCGAAAAGTTGTACTTTCAGGAACTCTCTATCAAAATCATGTCAAAGAGGTGTTTAACATATTGAACCTTGTTCGGCCGAAATTTCTTAGGTCAGACTCTTCGAAATTAATAATGAGGAGGGTAATGAGCAAGGTACAAATACCTGGTGGGAGGAAACAGTTCAAAGCTGGAGCAGATGCAGCCTTTTACGATTCGGTGGAGCACACTTTGCAGAAGGATGAAAACTTTGAGAGGAAAGTCTCCGTCATACATGATCTACGTGAGATGACCAGCAAAGTTCTTCATTACTACAAAGGTGATTTTTTGGATGAGCTTCCTGGACTTGTTGATTTCACCATTGTACTCGGTCTTAGTCCCAGACAGATGGATGAAGTTCAGAAGTTAAAAAGGTATCAAAGGAGGTTCAAGATTTCATCTGTTGGAAGTGCTCTTTATTTACATCCTAAACTGGGTTCTTTCTCGGAGAAGTCTGACACAACTGATGATAATATCGATGACAAGATGGATGACTTGCTAGACAAGTTAGATATCAAAGAAGGAGCCAAAGCAAAGTTCTTTCTCAATATGTTAAATTTATGTGAGTCGGCCTGTGAGAAGCTCCTTGTGTTTAGTCAGTATCTCATCCCCCTGAAATTTTTAGAGAGATTATCTGTGAAAATGAAGGGTTGGCATCCAGGAACTGAGATTTTCTCGATCACTGGTGAATCAAGTAATGAGCAAAGGGAGTTATCTATGGATCGCTTCAACAACTCTCCCGATGCTAGAGTTTTTTTCGGATCTATCAAGGCTTGTGGAGAGGGAATTTCTTTGGTCGGGGCATCACGAATTATAATCTTGGATGTTCATCTTAACCCATCCGTTACCCGACAAGCCATAGGCCGTGCATTTCGCCCTGGACAAAAGAAGAAAGTGTATTCATATAGACTGTTGGCAGGTGATTCTCCTGAAGAGGAGGATCATGCTACTTGTTTCAAGAAGGAATTAATCGCAAAGATGTGGTTTGAGTGGAACAAGTATTCTGGTGGCCAAGTGTTTGATATGGAAACTGTTAATATGAACGAGTGCAATGACCTGTTTTTGGAAAGTCCATTGTTAAGAGAAGATATTAGGTCTCTTTACAAAAGGTTCATTCTTCTGTTCAAATCAAGTCTCATTTATACTCTACTGGTTTCAGCATTCCAACTTCTATTCTCCATATTTTCAGGTAGATGCCGGGACCGTGGCCAGGTGGCTACCATCGACACAGGCAATTTCTCACTTCTTTTTGTAGTCATTCAGTCCGCAATGTAGGTAAGTTTCATATGAAAGCAAATATGAACCAGCTATAGAAATCAACTTTGTTGACATTTCCAGGTGACTTGGAGCACCCAGGAAGATTTATACCATCTGCTATAGAAATCACTTTCTTACAGTACATGAAACCTTTTTGTTCTACTTTTGTATTTGGGTTAAACTGAAATTTCTTTAAAAGCATTGTCCTCTTCTAAGAACCCTCATTTATGATTTATGCATACGGAAATGTTACTCGGAATTTGAACTAAATGAACTTGTAAATTCTGGTTGACTAATTTCTACAGAAGCTTTAATGTTTAACTTGTGAAAATTCCAGTTTTCTTGTTCCATACTGATATCTTCATGCAATTTCTTGTTTGACGGCATGCTTAGGAGCGTAAATGAACAGAGCGTTTGAAAAAAATGTTCGGGGTATTCTTTTATACCCCTGTTTCCTAGCATAACTCAGAATTTGCTAAAAATATGTGCTACAATGTGTATTCTTTTTGGCTTATTGACACCACCAATCAGAAGTGAGAAATTGTCAATGTCAAAATGCAGATGAGAAAGTGGCCCATAAAGCATGCAGAGCACAAAACTTGAAAATCATGTCCACCTGCACCTACATCAAGCCAATTCCTACATTTTTTATTTCAAATCATATATTTTTCTGATTCCTGAACTAGTTGTACATGTACAAAATTTCCCTTTCACCGTATTAACAAAAATCATATATCTTTACAAATATGCAGAATCACCAATCAATTCCTAACGGAGCTGAGAGTCTGTCTCTTCTTCCGGTGATTACGGTTCCTCTCCATAAGAACGATTAAAGAAAGTTTAAACCGCATTCGAGTACATTTCATGCAACAAAATCATGTAACTGAGAGGAATTGAAACCCTGTTGTTGATTACCTGGGTTTATGCATTCAAAATCCGCTGTTTCGGCTCCCATTGAAGTCATTATCGGATTGTACATTTCATCCCCTCTCATTGCAAAGAAATTTTGATGACGCCTTCCACCTGGCATACCTATGCTACCATCTTCATAATGCTGCAATCCCAAAGTGAGGGATACACCGTTTCCACTGTCAAACCTCCCCAATTCAGACACATTGTAAGCAGCGGCTGCCATAAACCGGTGGCCACTGCCATCTAGATGAACACTTGAATCGGGGATGTTAGAGATGCCCATAGTAAGCCTCTGCTCCTCCCTTAGCTTCTGTAAGACATACTCAGTTTCAGATTCTCCACACGTGACATTCAGGAAACCAGCTTCGGGGGTTGATCCTGAGATATCTACATCATGAACATTGTCGGATTTCAAATCCATGAGCTGTCCGTTGCTAAATCTCTCTATTGCTGATGAACTCCCACTTCGTTGCAGATCTTCATCTCTGTCCTCGGAGGTCATTGTATCGCCTTTTGTTGCTTTGACCGCATTATCAGATGAAGAATTAGAATCCATTTCTGCAGCAGCAAATTCTTCCTTGTACATCTCTTCGACCATAGGCTTCCATAGGCGCACCCGAGCATTTATGAACCAATTCGAAACCTGGACAGATGCAAATATATCATTTAGGAATCAAGTCATCAACAACGAAAGATATAAAGAGAAACTATGACATCATTTTATTGGATGTGTGTGAACACATTACAGCACATACTGATATATACACTCGTTAAAACCAACTTCTACTGTATATCACTTCTTCCAATTCCGCCGCTAATTTCGAACTTAACAACACTTTCCCGTCCAAGTTTCGAACAAAAACTCCTTACAAGGAAACAATTTGCTTCATTTATATGTTAGTATGATGAGTTGTTTGCAGATTACCTGACTTCTAGTCAAGCCTGTCTGTCTTGCTAGCATGATCTTATCAGAATCCTTCGGGTAGCTGGAGGGAAACCGAAATAGCAATGAGTACAACGTTGAGAAATCAAACAGGAGGGAAGTGTTACGTTGAAACTTACGGATTAAGAAAATGCTCAAACAGCCACGCACGAAGTATTGAAACAGAGCTTTCGGGGAGCCCTCTCTGAGGCCTCCATGCATGTTGTTGCATCATACCAAGCTGCTGAAGAGCTCTCTGTTGCCTCAGCTGCTGGTCCACATAACGCAGACGAGTAATCCTTACTTCTTTACTGTTTTCCGAAGTATCATGTTCTCCAAGACTTGTACGTGTTGCCTGAATTTTCTCATTGATTGCATCTTGCAGGCACCGAAAATGGCGTGATATAGTCTGTGAAGCAAGCGTAGTGTAAGGCTTAGCAGCTCCACACCCTGCTACCGCATCGAATGATGATACAACAATCTGCATCTGATGATAATAATGTTTATACCTGCGATCAACCTGAAGTAACAACCATTCGACATTAGACACTATAAGTAACACGAATAAACCCTAAACCGTAACGGAAAAGATTCAACTAGGAACCTGGCTGCAAGAGTTTCTCGGAAAAGCTTACACAAAAATGTGTTTACCTCGTCCAACATGGACAGCAGCTTTGTTAACTTGTCTTGTAATTCTTGTCTTTCAGCATGTGAGAGCTCTTTTGGAGAGTTCATGGAGGATTCTTGCTGGTTTGCAAGCACATTCTTTGATCCCCCATCATCTTCCTCAGAATTCTTCATCCGATTATCTTGTGAGTTCCGATTTTTCCCTCCATCAGGTGGCTTTAGAGCCTTTCGAACATTAACAACTTCATCAAGCAGTTGTTGTGCAGCCTTGAAATACTTGGAATCAGGAATGGCTCTTGTCATACTTGACACTCCATATGCAGGCAATACCCCTTTATTCGAATCTTGATTACCAACGGAAAAACCCGAACCGGGATTCCGATAAGGGATTTGGATTCCAGAGGGGATTTGGGTACCAAGGCTCAAGGATAATCCTTGACCACTGTGAATGATGCTGGAAGTACCAGCCAGTGACTGCATAGCCAGCATTTCATTTCTACCATCCCTCCAAGCACCAAAACCGTGCTCCCCGACTGGACAACCACCGATGTTCGACAAGATCCCTTGATGCTGTGGAGCCGAAACCGAAGTTTCCACAGCCGGAATCTCGATACAGTTGTTTTGCTGCTGAGAATTCCCAGTAAATGCACCAGAATAGGACCCGGTACTCATATACAACATCGTATTACCAGGAAGAACTGGTCCCTCAACATACGAACCCGGCATCGATTCTCTTAAACAGATCATCGGCGCTTCCGTATCTCTATGATTATCTGAACCAGAGTAATAAGCAGCCATATTTCTCACAGTCTTGAAAATTTCCTTGCTCCCGTACAAGTCAAATTACACAGTCACGAAACGAACTGGAAACAAGCAATCGAAACTTCCATCATGAACAATCTTGAGCAAATTTAGAAGAAAAAAAACTGGATATTCTCTAAGCATAAACTGATTAGCAACAAAAAAAAACCCAAAAAATCATAAACATATGATTAAAAAAAATACCTGGAAACCAGTAACAGTTGCTTGAGGTATGGGAACAAAGAAATCTCAAAGACACCACCCGATCCGCTGAAACAAAATCCTTAAGAAACCCAACACTTCATTTCAAAAAAAGAAAAAGAAAAATTCTTCGATGAATTATATCACCTTTTTTTTTGCTCCTTTTTTACCAATCATATGTTATCCATCCATCATTTCCATTCAAAGTTCAAACCCCACGTGAGAGATTCACACATACATACTTAAAGCTTTGAACCCTATGGCCTATATACCATGATAGCTTCCAGAGATTGTAAAACTTTGCTCTCTTTGAAAATTCTTACTATTTCTTCTTCTTCTTCCTCTGGTTTGGGTGTTGTTGAAGATATGTTTGGTTAAGGAGTTCTATCTCTTAACTAACAGTTGGTGAACCTAAAAATAAAAACCCTCCCTTAAACCCTCCTTCTCAATTTCCTTTTGCCGTCTCTCTCAACTTTCAGCATGGCAACCTCTGGTTTTACTTTTCTTTTTTCCCCCACTTTCTTTAGCTTCTGCAATATCTATATCCTATCCACCATAATACCCATATTCTACTCTCTCTCTCTCTCTCTCTCTCCACATTTTATATTACTTTTTGGGTTAATTGCAAGATAATCCCAAGTTATAGGTATTTTTTAAAATACATAATGATAAAAAATATCTGTAACATTTAATTAAATATTTTAAAATATATATGTTTTAAAATAGGGACATTTTTATCTTAAAATAAAATATTATGACTTTTTAGTCATAAAATGTTAAAATATTAGGAGTACTTTTTAATTAAATAAAAATAAAAATGATTATTTAGTGAAATATTAAAGGTCTTTTCGTCCTAAGTTGAAACACTAAGATTAAACATTCTAAAAAAATTAAATTAAATTAGTTTATAATTAAATAGTAGGAGTACTATTATGTCATTTTAAAATGGTCTCAAAATTTTTAAAATGCACTAATTGAGTCTCATTGTATCTTATCATATCGATCAGCCTGAAAGGGTAAAAGTGTGTTTGGATTAACATATTTAATAGTTTTCGTTTGGGTTACGATCAAATTTTAAAAATGTAGACTAAAAACGATGAAATTAAAATATAGAAACGATAGTTTTCACATACTATAGGGCCTAATAAAAGAGTTTGACATTTTCAAACGTGAAAGGCGATGCAGTAGGTACTCGTGTCACTGTACTTTGTCTTTTTTCTCTAACTAATGTTTAGTTTAGGTACTCTTATGGTTCTATACTTTTCTTTATTTATCCTTTTGCCCCTTTGTTTTTCCTTATTTCATCGTTATACCCATTTATCTATAAATATGCAAATTACTCACACAATTTTAGTCCTGGGATTTAGTAGTGTAGGATCGAATTCTGGTTTACTCCCATTCTTAATGTTTCTTTGAGTTCAAAGTTCTAATTAAATAGAATATATTGAGTGGTCTCGTTGATTACAAAGAATATTGTTTGTTTAGTCTTTCGAAACGATAAAATCGTATTTTATTGTTTATTGATTATTAAAATAGCACAAAAAGTAATTTTTTAATAATAAAATAATAATCATAAACTCAATCAACTTGATTTTTTCACTTAATATGACTTGATTAATATTCAAATTTATACTATAAGAAAAGTTTAAACATAATTGAAGTATTCGAGAAATAAACTCGCAGGAGAGGGAAAACTGTACGTTTAGTATCTAATTATCGCTTTTGGTCCATTTTGGCTATCCAACTGTAATTTTGTTTTCAAAAGTATATCTAATATTTAGTTTTAGTTTCATTTCGATCACCCGTCATTAAAAAATTAACGGTGACACTGATGTGTTATTATAAGGTAATATCATGTCACAGTTAGGGGGATCATGCCAATAGTTTTGTTAATTTTTTAATGATGGATGACTAAAATGAAACCAAAATTTAACATTATGTATGATTTTGAAAAAAAATAATTAAGTGGCCAAAATAAAATAAAAATGATAGTTGAGGTATTAAATGTGCAGTTTACCCTTATTATTATTATCATTACTTTTACTATATAGTTTTTCTAACAAGAATGGACAAAAAATATATTATATTTGTGTTAAATTATTCATTTTTTTGTCCTATAGAAGATTTGGGTGTGATGAGTCACATTATTGAACAAAAAATATATTATATTTGTTTTCGATATTTATTTATTTGTCAAATGTTGGAAGCATCATCCAATTAACAACTCCCACGTGTTTCATCATCGTCCTCACTGCAAAAGAAGGCGTAATTAGGCATATTGTTTAGCATACAAGACAAACCAAAAGGCCAATGATTATGGGATTAAACCAAACCAAAACATTTGTATGGGATTAGGAAAACATTTTCTAGTTAAATTTGGGTTTGATCCTCCTATAATATTCATATTAAAATTATGTTCCCGTATTTTAATTTGACATGTGTTGATCGCTTGAATTCTATAATGTTATTTGTTAATACAAATAGTGAATGGTGTTTTTCTCTCTCTTAGAAACATCCCTTCTAAGTTCTCATTCATCTTGCTAGCATGATCTCTTTTGGGTCTAATGAAAAAAATTAGTCCTCCAACATTAATTTAAACAGTCATTTTGGTCCTTATTCTTTATCGGAGAATTTTAACCCATAATATTTCAAATTTTGGTTAAAATTGTTTATATTGAATAGAAACCGTTAGTTGATTAACAGTTAATACATATTGCTAATATGCTATATTTAAAAGTGTTTAATTAATGACATATCACATACCACGTCACTAAAGTAATAATGTAATATGTATCATATTACTTAAAGTGATGTGTCACGTGTCATATCACTAATTAATCACATATGAAAATGACACATTAATTGTTAGTTAATTAAAAGTTTTCAACTAATCGTTTTAGAAAATAATGGTCAAAGTGATTATTTGAATAAATATTTGGGTTAATTTTATCATTGTATCTTCATGTGTACTGAATGAAACTTTTTTAAGGAAAAAAGCTATCAACATTTTAATTAAAATAGTTAATAATATGATTTATTTGATTCATTGATGAGTTTATATTTTGAGAATAATGTGGACGGAATTTTTTTAAAAATGAGGGTATTTAAAAATTATTTTGGGATTTACAATATTTGTTACTGTGTATATAAAATTTGTTATGTGGACAATGACGGATCCAAAAATATTTTAGAGGGTGAACACACATGGGCTAGCAAAACAAAATTTTTGAATAGTGAGCAAAAATAAAATTTCTCCGTCACTGCATGTGGGTATAATGAGTTCCTTAAAATGTTTTTTAAAAAATTAAACTGGTCAAATGAGTTAGAATAAATTTGTATGAAACTCATTATCTACGTAACAAATTCTATTTTTTAATTTTTTATTTTTTTAAACTTGTCACCTCCACGTAGAGTTTCATATATAATATAACAAATGTTTTAAATCCCAAAATAATTCTCAAATACCTTTATTTAAAAAAGAAAAAACAACAAAGCCTATTAATGTTCTAAAAGTAGAGACAAGTATAAGAGTTAAATCCTCAATTTGAGTATAAAACTATAATTCAGATAGAACGAAGCTGAACAAAGAAGCAAAAGACAGCTCGATCCTCACCCACAAATATTGAATTATAAGTGATATTCATGCACGAAGCTCATGCTCATTTGACGTTTATTTGGGATGGCATGAGATCCGAATTCGACAGGTTCTGACTCGACTTAATTCGATTAGGTTGGATTTTTAAAAAAAAATTCAGGTTCGGGTCGGGTCGGGTCGGTTTTTTTTAATGTGATGTTCGGGTCTGGTCGGGTTCAAGTTTGGGGTGAAAAATACCTGACTCGACCTGACTCGAAAAAATATATAATTATAAATAATTACAATAATACATCTCTATATATTATTTTTTCCAATAAATTTACTGTTTTTATGGAATAAAAATATTTTTTTATTATTTCGGGTCGGGTCGGGTGGACCAAAAACCTAACCTATGTCATCCCTACATATATTATACATCAATATAAATACTCTCAACCATTTTACAATGAACGCTCAATCATCGTATCATCGTGTTGCTACCGTTGGTGCTCGAAACCATGACCTCTAGAATCATCAACGATTCTTTTAACCACTAAGATAAATTGATCGTGCAGTCGTTTAATGCATTTGATAATTCAAAAACACTATTTCTTACAATTATTTAACAAAATACGTTTATGATCAATTTTAATCTCCAAAAGACATATATGATAGAATGTGCAATGTTGTTGCTTTTAATCTCCAAGGTTTCTTATTTTCTTCAAGACACGATATTCTCTCTCATTTTCTAAATTTTAGTATCTCCTTTTCTTTTTCAAGATATGAATTCTACAACATCATCATAAATTAATTTTCAGAATCAACAAGAAACTAACAAATTATTATTCATTAAATTAATCAAGATTCAAACTTCACTATTAAATTATAAAAAATTGTTGAAAAATGCTAGCATATACAATATATGGTGACGTGATTAAATTCAAATTAAGTTTTTTAACAAAGGTAAACCAAAACTTGTCGTGTTTTGACAAGCAGGCAAACCGCATAATCGACACGTTTAAAGTTTGATTATATGATTAGTGATTAATCAACGATTAATAATTTAGTTTTATTAGTGGGTCCTATAAAAGCCAGCTTCCGCTTTGTACTTTCAAAACGTTGTCGGTTTGATCAAGTTTACAGAAGAACCACAGTGGATCCAAAAATAGGCCCATAAATAATACATGGATTGTAACGTATTTCAGGCCTTAAACTTGTACAGAGCCCTAATATATTTTTCATTCCCGACCCGACCCGGCCCGGATAAAACTTTAAACCCCACACGCTTGTTACAAAGAGAAGATGGTTTGGGTTTTAGGTTGGAAAGTTTTCATTCCAATTCCTCAGCAGCCAAACCACCATCGATGGGGAAAAACA